GATTTTGCAAATATAGCAAAAGGGTTACCAATCCAACTTGTCTTCTTTCTTGAATTCGTACTTCTAAAGCATTTAATAATTTGGAACTAATTTCAGTCTTTAAATTTTTTAGTTCATTTAACAGAAATTTTTATATATTAATTCTAGTATCTAAAACCGGTTTTTTAAATTTTAAAAACAGGTTTTCGAATTTTACAAATTTATCCAAAAAACCTGTTTTTAAAACCTGTTTTTAAAAACCGACCAACCCTACAGGGTAATAACCTTTCGGGCTACATGAAATGTTCCTAAGAGTGAGTAGCAAAATAACTGGTTGGCTAATAGGTTCTTGCGAACAAGTTACCTTGTGCAATTCTCACCTGGTTGTTGATACGCGCGATCTCGCGTCGCAGAATGTCCATATGAGCTCCCTTGCAATCCGAGCAAATCTTCTTCTCGCAGTGGACACACACGGAACAGTAGGACTTCTCCGAGCAGACGTTGCAACGTTCCATGACCTGACCACTTGTCGGGTCTGGAAGTTCGCCCGTGATCTCGATGTGTAGTTCCAGAAACCGCTGCAAGGTCACGTTTGTTGGAAAACCCTGCACGCCCTGGTACGGAATCCTGTGTTCTGCGCGACACTCCGGACATTTTACCTACAACAGCATTATCAATATATGACTGGCGATGAACCTAACTTATGTGGCAACATTGTTTAAAATTGTCGTGGGGTAGTGATCTTCTTGAGCAGCTAACCTCGAAGTTGTAGATAAAATTTCCTCTCTCAAGGAACCCATTAGTTCACTTCCATGTCCATCTCACTCTGCGTGTCCTCTGCCCACGAATGCTTAATCAGCATATTCCAAGCTACTTCCTTTTGCTAGCGACCGTTTTCTCTATTTGTAACCCGACAAGCGGTCATTCGGTTGTGACAGCTACTACCTACATCATTTATCATCATAAGCAATAGAAATATGGAGATCCTACGAACTTGCGCAATTTAATGCAGCGTGGTGAAAGATTTAAAAATCACAAAAATATACAACGCTGGTTAAGAAACTATTATTACATAATGTCGGTAGGATTTGAGGTTTTCATGGCGGTGAGTACGAAGATGGCTGTCGTCTGGTTTGTAGCGCCGTGTAGCGTGGTAGAAATTTACCAAGGACATCTGAAACGTTGATAAAATTGGGCCAGATTACACGGAGCTAGAACCCAGAAGACGGCCATCTAAGTAAATATCGACCACGCGAAATACAGGTATATTAAACTCCTCCGTTTAATTGCGTTAAATAAGGCACCACTGCAGACGTGAAATTTCGTTACAGGTAAGTGATAAACATACTGGTAAGTTCTTAAAAGTTATAAATATGGCGACGAAACTTTTAGGTTATATCTAATAATTTTAACGGCAGTCGGGTTGAAGATGGCTGTCTTCTGGGTTGTTGCGCGTGTAGTCTGGTCGATGTTAACCAACGTTTCAGAGGTCATACTGCCTCTGTCATCAGAGTATAAAGATTTCTGTCTTCTGGGTTGTTGCGCCATGTAATATGGTAGATGTTTACCAACGTTTCAGAGGTCATACTGCCTCCGTCATCAGGGCGATGAGTATGAAGATTTCTGTCTTCTGGGTTGTTGCGCTGTGTAGTCTGGTCGATGTTAACCAACGTTTCAGAGGTCATACTGCCTCCGTCATCAGGGCGATGAGTATGAAGATTTCTGTCTTCTGGGTTGTTGCGCGTGTAGTCTGGTATCTACCCAGAACACAGCCGTCTTCAGACTCCGCCATGAAAACCTCAAATCCTATGTCAGTAGGGGTTCTGGTGAAAATTGTATATAGACATGGTTCACTAAATTGTAAATAGTTGGCATACTGATTACAGACCCTGGTAACCTCACCAGTTGAACTGTAACCGTTTAAGGAAAGTAGACTTAATTTGTTCTTGCCAGAAGTTGTTATCGTTAACTGACGTATTTAACATGGCGTTCCCGTCATGCTCTTGCGTGCAATTTGAGGCACAGTGTCGAGCCATTCTGGCGAAATTGCTTCAAGCTGTCTTCTCTAAGGAGGCCTGCCACCTGCTGTTAAACAATCCTTGAGGTTTCATACGTAAGTTGTCTGTAGAACACAGATGCAAGCTTATTATCATGCTAAATTGCAATGGCGAGGTGGTGGATCGAGCAGGAGCTGAAATTTATTGCATCAAGTCCATCTCGAACCTGTTCGTTTTTATCTCTTTCTTCTGCTCTCATTTCATTCACCCACTGAATCCTTCAATTCCCTTTTACATGAGTGTATATTGAACACGACTACGCTCAATTTAAGCGAATAATTATGAATACGATTGAACCGAATACTTTTCTGAAACGTGGAGATTCTGTTCGTGAGCTGATTCCCTGCCATTACTAACATGGCGATATATATAGTTTTTAGCTAGTTTATACGGAAATAATATGAGATTTATTAACCAGACTTTCCAGAACGCTGGCCTTGTAATCCTGGGGTCTCGGGTTCGATTGCCTGCGGTGCCCGAATTTATAACTTGTGTTGGGCAAGGCCGTGGTCTAGGCAACACGAAGTTTTCCTCCGGGGGCTTCCCCGGTTTCTCCGTGGCATTAACACACAGAAGAAGGCAATGGCAAACCACTTCTGGATCATCTGGATTCCCGGCGGTGCCCGCATTTATAACTTGTGTTGGGCAAGGCCTTGGTCTAGGCAACACGGAGTTTTCCTCCGGGATTTCTCCGTGTCATCCTAACAATTACTCCATTCACACCCAGAAGAAGGCAATGGCAAACCACTTCTGGATCATCTGCCAAGAACGTATATGAACAGGTCCCAGTCCGAGAAAAGGATGGAAGGATCCTGTTCATATGGACCTGTCGTCAGACAGAACACTAAATAAAAAAATAATAGTGTTAGACTACCAGCTTTCATTCAGGAACATAATTTATGTTTTATGATATTATCAGTGGGTTCGGCGAGGCTCAGTCAGTGCAATGTCTGACTACAAAATGGACTATCAGGGTTTGATACCCGGCAGGGAAAAAAATATTCTGCATCAGCCCCTGGGCTCTAGGGCCCACCCTGAGGCACCGAAGTCCTTTCCCCTGCTGTAAAGCCTGGCAGGGGCGTGACGCTGACCACTCACCCCAATCTAGTGAGGCCAAGAACGAGAAGTAGCTACACACCTCTCACCCCAAGCGCCTCCATGGGGTGTAGCTGGATAGCTTTACTTCTCTGGTTTCCCTGGGGCAGGTGGAGGGCTTTGGTTAATTCGGTGATGAACCTTGGGGTTCCTTAAGCCAGCTAATTATGTAGATGGTTATATTACCTTTGTGTTGCAGTGATTGAATATGGAGACCAATGGGAGATTCGAAATTAAAGCGGAGTCATTTGGAAATTCTGTGATCTCGAGAGTAGAGCACCGCGCTGGTGACGAAACCTACCTGTCTCCTGACGTAGTCCACCAGGCCATCCATGCAGGGCTCCATGCAGAACGAGTGTTGGCATGGCAACAGTTTCGGGTTTCGGTAGCGATCGAGGCAGATGGCGCATGTCAACAGCTGTTCAAACTGCTCCATGTTGAAGTAAGCAAAACAGTTTCTGCAATAAAAACGGTAAACTTTTAGAGCAGCCTGTGTTTCCTTTGTGGTAGGAACTGACTAATCAACTAAATAACTAACTCCATAAAGCAACGCACGTCTTGACAAGGCGATAATTACTAAGATACTCTAGAATTTCCTCTCCCTTTATAGGAGCCGAGGGTTTGCATTCAGAAGACCCTGCCACGAGTCCCTATCCTGAAGCAGTTCAATTCAGTCTACAAACTACTATCCTACCAACTTAAGATTCATTTTAATATTATCCCTCTATTTATATACTAAGTCTTCCGAGTGGTTGCAACAATAAGTGAACACGCAGTTCTTGTCTTCCCATGCGTCATTAATGTCCCTCGTATCGCAATATCTTTAATTTGACCTTTCCTATATTTTTTTATGAAAAACTTTAAGTTACAAGGTTCCATAAGTGGAAACTCTATCTTGTACATGACTTCTAAAATATCTGTTTCTCAACGTGTTAATTTACGGTCGTGGATAAGTTTACATAGAGTGTGTGACCCAGTTCGGCTGTCCTACCACCGCCCGTTTAAATTTAGCCTTTACTCGTCGCCTCAGCCGTCACTGTGGGCCAAAGAAACGAAGTTAACCCGGAATTGTAGGTTATGAGTGGAAATTAGTCCACAATGTCCCTCTCCGTTCATAGCCACTTTCCTGAATTACTTTTGTATCTTCACTATCCAACAAACAAATGGATGACCTCTGCACTGACTGCTTGTTGGTAAATTGGCCTAATTAGACAATACTAAGTTGGCTGCCCCTGCTTGTATGCCTTTCCTTAATTTAGAATGTAGTTTTAAACCATCCCTCAAGTGTATAAATTCCTAATGACATCTGTTCTAATGGAAGAATTTAGTAAAACAAGAAATGCCCGCAAAAGGAAGGAGCCAACAACCGAGTAAACAGCACTGACGGTCAAATCTTGTATGTTGATATTATTAAAAATACTATTTAAAAATACAGGGCTCGACAGTGTGGGCTGTGTTCATTTGGCTCAGTATTGATGGTCTGTAGCGAACACAAACTTCAGGCACCCATAAAAGGAAGCCAAAAACTGCCGAAAAAAGAGCGATGTGTGGGCGGGCGCGTTGTCGTGGTGGAGAACCCAGCTGTTGTTCTCCAAATTTTCCGAACGCTCTCCCATAGCCGCTTAAAAACTTCACAAACATCATGGATTGTTCGTCTACGATCTGCAACCATAGCCTCTCGCACTTTCGCGATGTTTTCCGATGTTGTGCTTGTCGATGGTCGTCCTGAACGCTCATCGTCGTCGACAGACGTTCGTCCATCCTCAAAGTGTTTGTACCACAAAAACGTTTTATATTGACTCATAGCATTCTCACCAAATGCGTCCATCTAGTGGCGGCAGGCCATTCCACAATAGATTCGCGCGTGGAATTCAAATTCTCCGAACTTTTGGATAACACCTCGTAAATAAGAATGTGATTATTTGAGTATAACTCGTTTAAAGAAAACCCTAGGCGAGGACCGGTCGATTTCACAAATTTATAATAGGTTATTTACAGAGCTGGTTGCACTGCATTAAGCCAGGCGTTGATTACGAAACCCAGAACACCTAAATGTATCAAGAAGCAGATAAATCAATGCAAATTTGTAAGACACTTATTTTTATTTCACTAAGTTCATTCACATGAATGACCGAGTTCCGAAATGTGTATGAGGATACAATAAAAGTTTCCTGACGAAACAGCATTAATATTTGTGTAGCAGACGGTAGCAATAGGTATCTTTCCGCAAAAAAATGTTAGCCTGACGAGGATTGCCAAATGATTGATCAAAAGTTACAACGCATAACTTCGACCTTCGAGGGTAAGCCGCGTTACATGTTGTAGGATTACCAAGTGGCTCGGCAAGAAAAAATTGCAGTCGCCATCTTTGACATTAATATGAATTACAGATTCAGCGAACTTTCACATCGCTTCCTTTCTCAGTTACATTCCACAAACGTATCTCTCATAACTACTTTTGTCTGTCGCCACTTCTAACCACGTGATCACTAGAATCTCTTCCCCAAGCTTTTCTCCTTACCACGTGACCATTAAAATTCTTTTTCGTGACATCTGTTCCTCAACCACGTGCTCCCTACTGACTGGATGGAATTAGGGAGAGCGAACCAGTTGAAGAGAGGCATTGTGGCATGTGCGTTTGCAGAACCAATACCGAAATGTCGTTTGTGTCAATGCAAGCCAGAAAATGGCCCTGGGATCAACAAACATTTGGCACAGTTTAATTGTACTGGTACGTATTTGTGATGAAATATAACACACGTTTTACGTCTCTGCTTACGGCGATACATAAGTTGACGTCACAGAGAACAAATCACTGCGCGTGTGATTGAAACCGTGTAAATCTCCATATTCCTAAAAAAAGTTGTAGCATATTTAGAAGAAATATGACTTAAAAACATGCCTTCATAGAATGACACAAAATTTTCATATCTCAGAAATTCGCACGGTCGCCATGTTCGTTCCTCGTTGTCAGATATAAATGTTCACTGAAGTCGACGGACAGATGTATCGCATTTCTTGCTTTCTTTAAGATAATAAAATATGTTCCTTGAGAAAGCCAAAAATGAACAGAACACGACGGCTAAGAGTTTTAACTTACCTTTAATGTTTCCAAATGTATTTCTTTGTGTTGAACTCCAGCTTCAAAACACTGTATAAACTTTCGTGTTATTACTCTGCTATTTTTGTGCCAAAGTTTTTTTCCGACTCTCGGACGCTCCCATCCCAGCTGAACTCGCGCCGTCTTCTCGCGACTGAGGTCCGCAAGACGGACACCCCCCGTCCCCCCTTCCCCTGTTCGATTCCACATTTAGCTCCTCACATACAGTGCCTCGTCCCGAGGGAGAGGGAACAAGGTTGCTCTTCACATTTATCTCCAGGTTTGTTAAGAACTTTCGACCCACGCAAGATTTGGAAGCCTGAGGCTCCGACCGGATATACGCAGGCCAACGTCAATGTCTCTTCCGCGCCAACATTTCAAGCAGTCCTCTGCAAGATGTCGGAGGAATTTCTCCACACGACTGACTGGACTAGGCTTAATTTATGGCGGTCTGAAACTGCTAGATGCAGTTGAAGAGAGACTGAAGTGAATTAGTCGAGGGAAATTTTTGGATCCGAGGGGAGGAAGTGAGGGGAAAAAGGACGGCGAGCAGATTAATGATTTGTATCCATCAATCGTAGCCACGGAGGTCTAGCGGTCAGAACGCTGGCTTTGTAATCCTGGGGTCTCGGGTTCGATTCCCGGCGGTGCCCGAATTTATAACTTGTGTTGGGCAAGGCCGTGGTCTAGGCAACACGGAGTTTTCCTCCGTGGCATCCCAACAATTACTCCATTCACACACAGAAGAAGGCAATGTCAAACCACTTCTGGATCATCTGCCAAGAACGTATATGAACAGGTCCCAGTCCGAGAAAAGGATGGAAGGATCCTGTTCATATGGACCTGTCGTCAGACAGAACACTAAATAATAATAATAATATCCATCAATCATCAGCTGTCAGTAGAACCAAATCAAAAAATTTGAGTGTAACGGGCATGTAGCACGAATGACAACTATGAAAATGGCGTACAGGATTTGACTAGAAAACTAAGAGAGAAATTATTTGAAAGACGTATAAATAGATGGGAGGATAATATTAAAATGGATCTGAAAAGAATAATCAGGGAGAGTGTGGACTAAATCGTTATGGTGATAGACCGATTTAAAAATAAAAGACGGTGAGAAATTTCTTGGTCAACCAATCGACTACTGGCTTTTCAAGAGAAACTCTGATCCACCGACCTAGTTAGAAACAAAAATATTTTTACGTCTAGGCTTTCAGACACCGAGTACGTACCTATAAATGTAAAGCAAGGGGCGACATTTTCGCACCCACACAAAACTAGTAGCAAAACGAGGCCTATTATTCTATACAGGATATCTTAATATTCGGAGTTGTTAAATTAGACTAAATAATAGCAGTTTTCGATCTGAATAACGACAAGAATTTCCAGATTTTATTACCAGCTAAGTCAATTAACCAACTCTATTGAGGAAAGTATTTCTTAAAAAGTTGAATAGTTGCTTAACTGGTCAAGGAATGTCCTGTCCTTTGCACAGATTCCAAGATACATTAACTTGTTTACAAGGGCTTTCCATTGGATCCTGTAGCGAACAACATAAATCCTGTCCACATCCTTACAAATGATTCCTTTAGGACGCATTTTTACTTAATCGTCCCATCTACGCTAGGTCTATGAAATACGAACCTATGGATTGAAGGAATAGCATTTCGCATACAGTGTGTTAGGTAATGAGGGGAAGAGCAGGGGAGGTGGGAGACGTTTTTTCAGCACTAAAGAACAGTCTCCGTCTTTCGTTGTAATTGGAAAGTCAACTGAGAAGTACACACAGCCTACGAAATGACCATCAACACCTAATAAATTAAATTTTTAGGTAACGTATTTGAAAATTATGTGTGCTGCACTCCAAAGAACAATTAAAATTCGTTTTTGTTGGTAATGTAAAGCTCCACGCATTCACCTTTACGCTGTGTCTGATTCGTCGCAGGTGGAAAGCCTGCAGTCTCTTTAGGTAGGAGGAAAGGAAAGGAAAAAAAGTCCCTTCCGGGTATCAAACCCACATGGTCCAGCTCGTAGAAACACACTAAATTGGAAGTAAAATTTAATTTAAGATAGATGGGCTATTTATATAGGAACGTAAAGATAACGACACGAGCACGACACGAGCCCTTGCCGATTTTTCAGAAAATATTATTCAACGTTTTTCAATGGAACTGTTTAGGAAAAATATCGTTGGAGACGTAAGTTGGGCGAGACTCGTTCGGGGAACGGACGAGCTCGGAGTCAATATAAACAGTTCCATTGAAAAACGTTGAATAATATTTTCTGAAAAATCGGCAAGGGCTCGTGTCTTTATCTTTACGTTCCTATATAAATAGACCCTTATACAGAGAA